AGCTTAGCAGGCTGCATGCTCTTGCAGAAAATATCAGTCTCCACAGCCGAGGCCCAGGCTCCTCTGCCGCACTGACCGCGTATTCAGCACAGTGAGCCTTCACGATCCCATCGACGTCCGCGTCACCATGCCAATGTGAGCCCATGAATTGGAGACAGAGCAGTAGAGAGCACCATAGGGCGGAGTTCGAGAGACGACTAGCCTCTATAGCAGGCTCCAGCGCCAATGCTTCTCCTATTGACAAGATCAGCGACTTCACCCGCCCACGTTCCTCCTCCGTAACCGACAATGTGAATGCCGCGATCAACAACACCAACCAGTGCCAAGTCCCCGGAGACGCCCGCGCGGGCTCATCCACCATTACCAAACCGGCTAGTTTCAGCGGCTCAACGTTGAGGGGCTCTCGACGCAGACTCGAGATGCACTCGGTCAAGATTGACTTCGCGAATGGGCGAGCGGGCTCAGGAACCTCTGCCAGATGCCTCATGGTGGTCGTCATTTTCGATATGAGATGGTCAGGTCCATCACGCTGTGGATTGTGTCGGAGTAGGTCATAGCAGATCTTAGAAAGCCTCCGACGCTGCAGGCCGGCTGTGATCGAGAGAAGACAGACTGCTGGTGACTCGTGAGGGCCAAGGAGGAGTAGACAGCGTTCATAATGTTCACTGGCGAGGTTCAGGTGACTAGGCTCAACGAAAGTACCAACGTACCTGCCAAAAAACTAGTCACCCCCTGCATAGGGTGAAAGCCTGACGCCTGACCTATCGAGGTCACCAAAGACAACCTCAAGTCGACCATCCAAGAGTCGAAGGGCTTCTGCCTCGTCATCGCCTCGAGCCTCCACTATACGGCGTCTCAAGTCCATGAAATACATACGTACAGTCTCGGCCTGGAGCCTCAACTGCTCCTGCAATTCAGCATACATTTTGCCATTTTCTCGGTCCAAGGCCCTCAGGGCGTTCATGGTATCCGAAAGCTGGTCGTACCTGTCGAGCAAGCCTGCCGAATCGGCGGAGCGAAGCCATGCGATTTCGTACACAATCTTCCATATTTTCCCCACAGCTTTCCCTTTAACAGCTTCCATAAACCTCCCCTTATCAGTACTGGTCAACGCAGCCTCACAGTAGTCCAACCTCTCTATAGGGCTCATAGGGCGACGGCTGATGCCTCCAGGTCGTTTGCTGTCCACCCTTGACGTGAGATCATCGACGTCTTCGCTAGTTGAGATATTGCCGTCATTCATCGCAAAACTGAGGGAATTGGGAGTACATCGCACTGGGACCAACTCGAAGCGGGGTCAGAAAAGACTATGAGAAGACGAATTATAAGAGCAAATCTCGCCTCATGTTGCACATGAAGACTCTATCATATTCATCGTATCGAAGAATGGTATCGACATCATCGACTAGGTCGGCCACCACCAGCCCCACGTCGCTCACTGGACCTCCGGGCATCCCCAGCAAGTCTGGATCTGGACGAGCTGAATAGTAATAAGTTTCACATACTACCATCAGCGTCTGTCAGTACAGCACTTGTCAGTCGATCCTCGTACTCCTTGAGGATGCCTATAATCACCTTCGTCGTCTCCTCGACTATCATCATCATGCAGGCCAGAGTCCTCCCGGCTTCTCTACTCCCATGCAGCAGTATTCACAGATAGCCTACATTCATGCCAGCGCCTAGGTCCTACTCTCTCACACGGCGAGGGCCACTTTAAGAGGACCCTGCGGTCAATAAGAAAGATGGTTTTCGAATGATGGGTGATGCGCCTTCTCTTGGATAACATGGTATACCCTTAGCCGGCTGCCACACCAGGAGGATCCCCAACGTTAACTGGTTCGGTGATGCCCGCCAAGTACCTCGTGCCAAGATCGTTACTCATAACTCAAATCACGAGGGGCCATGGTCTGATGGATGTTGCCTCCCTCTGGTGGTAGTAGTAGCAGTGATGGAAGGCAATAGCTCGCCAATGTGCACCTCAGGTTTGGCAGCATAGGAGGACTCCTCAGGGTTCTTGGACGCTCCCCTTGCGGCCATTCCCAGCAAGGGAGTCGCTTCAGACATTCAGACCACCTGTGGATGAAATCTTAGCGGAGCGAAGCGACTTTTGTTCTTGCAAAATTCATGCAAGTATGGAGCACGACCTCCTCACGACACGCATACCACAAGTTGGCGTTGAGCTTCCGTTACCCTGACTTGAGATCGACTTGACCTGATCGAGGGTGTGGACATTAGAGCGGTGAATGAGTCCGGAGGATCGTCAGTCTTGCTCGGATGAAATGCACCACTACCACCATTAGACCGTTGGAAGGCAACGTCCGCTCCTGATCTCCCTCAGGCATGTTGAATACACCCATGACTCTTCTCTATTGTGAATAGTAACAATTGGCTGCTCGCCCTCGCAACATGACCGTGTGCTTCTCAAAGCACATCAGCGGTAGTCTACACCACCCTCACAGTGCCTTCGACAATGTTATCAAGCGCTTACACTTGGTCTCACTGTCGAATTTGATACCGGATGATCTCGCAAACCCATAGTGTCCTCCTCCTTGACGTTGGAAGATATAGTATAACTGCGGTTGAATGATTTTCCTCATCGTCTCGATGGCATTACTCAACTTGGGAGTATGACGGACTCAGCCGACCTTAGTGTGAATAACAAATCAATCGGGGTTGCGATTACGGTATGAACATCGCATTACAGGTGTGCCTCTACTGTGCTGTAAAGTTATGGGCATTGAGAGCATCAGCATGTGTGACGATAGTAGCACTCCTCTGAGTTGTTCAAGATTGCGTTATCAACCTCAACAAGTGGCTCCTCTGATTTGTCTAGTACTATAAAAAGACAGTTGTAACAATGGAGGCGATGTTCAGCATGGCTAACCTCATACCTAAACCTGGTCAGGATGGGCTGTGTCCTGAGGCCGATGTGGGGCTCACTAGTAGCTCTCAGTGATTCCCCATCTGCCGTCTGTTGATCTCCATCATTTACCTAAAGAGCATTCCGATGGTGACATGCAGCAGCAGCAGCACTTTTCTCACGTCCCTAAACCAACCGTGGGCTCTCCCTATTGCGTGAGCGCCTCTCTGTCATCCTACGTCCGAATAAATCCCATATCAGACACCCAGCAAGATCGTGTGTAAGCTCGGGCCCGCTGGAGAGGTCCTCTTCTGTGCTAAGCATTGTATCGGTCGATACGTCTACTCCCCCAAACCATGTGTGTCCTGCCTCCTTGACGGCCTTGTGCCATTGGTCGTGTTTATTCAGGTCACTACGTTATGTCCCTGAGCAGAGTGTGCTGTCCAGCTCGTGGAGACAAGCCTGACTGCCTGCCCGTCGCTGACCCACGTGTGAGGTTTGAAGGAGTATGCTTTGCTCCTCGATTGTCACATCTGTTTGAATTCATGTATGAGCATCGGGCTCGGTCACGAGATGGATGTCTGATATTTCTATATCTATGAAGTCGTTGTGTTCCTTAGTAGGCTGGGAGGGTTCGGCGTCGTACATGGTGACATGTACGAGCTATGACCATGGGAGTCCATCGAGGCGGCCTATTAGCCCATACCATTGGTTAACATGTCAACGCGGACCAGCCGGCAGCATCATGCTGATTTTTCTAATTATCCATTCAAAGCCGGGGAGATAGCCTACTGCAAAGACCGACCAGAGTAAGAACCATTGAAGCCAGCTCTCTATGGTGATGTGCTTCTCTAGTGTCGTCGAAGATGACGGGAAGGTGTTGGAAGCCTACCCAGCGAGGCCTGTCGTCCTTGTACGGGAGAACTCTAGACATGCTCATCATTGGGAGGTCAGCATTGGGCCCATCCTCGAATCGAATAAACTCCCGCTCTTTCCAAACGATCATGTTGTTGCGACGTAGCTGTGGAAATCAGGTCATGTTCTTTACGCTGAACGAAAAAGTAGAAACGCAGAGCTTTGCAGCTTCCTCACTACTGCCTTATGACGACGGTTACTCCAAGTTCGAGTCGGTAAGACTGTGGAACAAACCTAGGCCAGAGCACGAGAAGGTATGTTGCTGGTCTTGATGAGCAGTGTGTCGACCTATTCACTGTGCTGGTCAGGAGTATATGGAAGCTGTTGGATGGGAAGTTGAGCACGGAGTGAAGGCCCACAAGGATCGGCAGGCGATGCCCTCCGGGATGCAACGTGTGCTCGAGATGGCTGCCTCGAAAGTGAGCTCAATACTCCTCAGGGTCCGCCTAGTTATCTGGACAAGTATCGATGCTGTAGGTGAAGTTGGAGGGCTCCCCTGCAGGGCCGCGTGTGAGGAGCAGGAGTCGGAGTTCCTCACGCGGCATGACCCCTCTTGCTCGTCGCAATACATCTCCAAGGGTGAGACCTTCCATGTCGGATCTGAGGAGCGAATATTTCAACGCTAGGTACGTAGTCGAAGTCCTGGTCATTCATGGTCGAGCCCATCCGGCGGCCATCACCTTCCTGCTGAGCATCCCACCAGGCATTCTAGACGTACACATGGCAGCTTTAAACCGGGGGATATCTACCGAGCTACCATCACTCGAATGCTACCAGAGTCAGAAATCTACATGCCCGAGGCCGGTTCGCAAGCCGTAAGCTGAGGCCACTGATTCACTCCATGTAGGTCTTTTCTTGTCATTGGTGTTGTCAGTTGCCTATAGACTCGAGTCCGAGTAGTTCCAGCGCGGTGGCAACAATGAGCAAGGAATCTTCAGAAGAGGGTGCGGCTTTCTTTGGACTCTACCATGCATTTTGTGATCGCTGCTCAGCCTCGCTGCCAGAAGAGGATGTCGACGCTCTACGCTCACTAGATGCACGACAGGCCGCTGAGCTGACCCTTTATGAGGAAGCTGATCGGGTAGGCATTCTGAGCTACTGAGCTTCACCTATGTGTTCTGATGGGTACTCAGGCCTATGACTTCCTCATGGGAGAGAAGGCTCACGAGGAGTACATCCAAAGGCTACTGCAAAGTGCTGCGTTCGTCTTTGGAGGGGACGAGAGCGACTCGAACGAGATGGGGTGAGTCTTGTTGATCCGCATCTGTCCAACACGCGAAATTTTTCCCTTCTGTAGGGTCATCCTCGCGGGCATCCGACTTGCTCTCAAGCGGATTCAGAACGAGTCAGTGAAGTTCGACTTGCCCAATATGCGGCGACTGAGCCTAGCCTTGTACCAAATATTGAGACCTGCTGGCTTCGGTGATCTCCGTGGGAGTCCGAAACTATACAGTTGTGCGAATTTGGTTCGGTGTATTGTGAAGGATATGATCGGGGATGAGTCAACGTAATTTTCTCTCAACGATGAGCTCCTTGCGTTATTTCGCCCAGTGCACTCCGAGAATATGTACAATAGAGTTTCGTCTATAACCAGTGCGGTCTCACCCTACAAGGTGCTCATTCTTGAGCACTTCGTAAGCTGCGTGAAGCGAGAGATTGAGGTATTTCCTAGTAAGCTTTTTGGACGAGTGTTTGGTATCTGCAGTGCTCACGCTTCCGTCGCTGCCGAGAACTCGATAGTAATCAACAGCCAGTCTATCACCAATCGATGCTGATATAAAAAAGTGATGAAACAAGTTGCTTATCGACACCAACAATATAAAGATGACAGTTGGATGGAAAAACATGAAGAGAAAATGACCAGAAAACTTAAGTGTACGTCCAAAATAGGCCCAACCGAGGCTAGTATGAGTACATTATGATGCACTTACACGATCGATAACTTGAAAGGATAGTTTTCGGGAAAGCACTTCATCACATACCACGATACATATAGTCAGGCCGAACAACAAGCCATCATAATCTGTCTTATTCAACGGCCTAGTTATGATAGTGCGTGATGAGATCACAAATACTTTCCCTTTATTGGAAAATGAGAAAACAGTTGACTCATTGAGTTCGTGCGCGAATTCTCGTCAACGGGATAGTCCTGAGCCTAATGGTCGCGTGGCAGAATAAGTTCGGTAACTTCAACGCAAGGTCTCGAACTCATAAATCAATTTACGTGATAGTGTCTTTTTCTGCACTTTCCGGAGTGGTCGCTCGAGATGTGTGAGCACTTCGCACAGATGCCTCGCTGATGTAACAAGCAAGTTTCTTCGCCCGTGATACAACATACTCGTGAACTTCATTCGCCCGCCTGACAGGAAACACTCGTGAGCGACATCAGCAGCGTATCATTCACTCTGTGTATTCGCTGTTTCTGCCGTTAAATGTAATGCAGTTATCCCGCATGAGGTCAACGTCCGCAATAAACTGCTCACGGGTTTGGTACTGACCCTGAGTAAAACCAGGAGCCTCGAACCGTCTCGACAACAACGTGCTTTCTGTTATTCCACATATGAAGACCTCCTCGAAAACTTACACTGTCACACTTATTCTTCATCGTTTGAAGATCCATCGGCTTCGTGATGATCTCATAGTAATTCGGTGCTTCTCTGAGACTAACGGGTTCCCGGAAGGGCCAAGCTGATCACGAGAATGGCATTCCAGCGGTTCGCCCTGTCCTGATCCTCACCGAATGGTTTCTTCGACACAGAGGTGATAATGGCAGACATCTGTCCTTGTAACGTACCTATTCATTCACAGACATGTGATTTTATGAGCCCGAGGTCGAGCTCATAGGGAGCAGTGGGGCTTACTACTTTGCCGGTTGCTCTGGTGCACTTCATCGAGTTCGGGTATCCACCCACACTCCATGACGCCTGGAATCGACATGGGATCTAACAAACAGGTGTCCACATCTAAACAAGAGAGAGTAACTTGACGTCACTTTTCGCGACCCCGTCGCTGAAGTCCAAACCGTCAAATGCCTCTTCCGGTGGCCTGCAATACCTAAACGGTGAGCTCACGAACTGGTACTTCGAGTGAAGCCCAACATCAAGTCATCCCAGACCTTCTGAGCAAGTTCTTCAAGGCAAGTGCCGAGTTCTAAGTAGTTGACCTGACGAACCGGAAAGTATCGGCAGTACAACCCCGCGTAGACCCCAGACTTCTTAGTAACACAATGTGTGCTGCTCACATTTTCGAAAAGTCTGCATCCCATGAGGCTCCCACCATCGTAATCTTTGATGAACCTGTATCAGAGTGAATCAGTGATTCAACCTCTAGCGGAAGTCGTACCCATTCCACTGAGCTTTCGGGAAGGAAAGGTGCTTCGTGAAGCCCTGGCGTTTGAAATACCCAATAGCTGAGAGGTAACGATGCAATGCTAATGATGATATGAGCACTCAAGTACGGCACCATGATTATCAGCATACGTGAGGAAGTAGTGCACACCGATCGACTTTGCGTACCTGGCAGATGCATAGTAGCAGTTTCGCGAGAGGGCAATAGTCGTGTACTCTTTCATGTGGTTCATCAACCTCGTCCCATTGCCTTGTATCTGAACAGGGAGCAATAAACCGGTTTCATTGGCAGTGGAGGCCTTACCTGGTGTACTGACCGCACAGCTAAGAAAGCTATCTCGATGAAGTGCGTCTGGAATTGACGGAAACAACAACCTCCCAGGATAGAACTAACAAGGGGATGCGAGGGGCGGAGCGATCGGGAATATCTACTCCCCGCGGATCATGATCATCGTCTCGTGTTTGCTGTCGAACATTAGTCTTGATAGGTAGGCCTTCGGCATCTGTAGTCAACGACAGTAGTGCGACTACGCTGATTGCGACATCGCCTATCGTACACGCGGAAGCTGCCTCGAGAAAATGTTTTTCACCACCAATAGTTTGAGCATTTTCTCCGCAGTTGCATTGGCATGTGACACGAGCTCGAAAGTGATGCCCAAGTCCGCAGGGGTGCTCGACAGCGGTGTCTCGTACGCATCTAAGTCATTCGTGTACATACGACAACGTCGTGGTTGACCTACCACGACTTGACGCCTCACTTGCTGCCTCCCCAGTACCGGTGCCCTCTACAGGAGTGGTGTTCATACAACTCAACTGCTACACGAGATGATGATGATCGATATGCATCTTCCATGCGAGACCACTTTCCCGTTTCACCCCAGCCGCAGTCCGGACCATCATATGGCCATTGACCATTCCAGCAGGGTGACCCCACTATTCCGCTGTACTATGAAACTCGACGCATCCTGTATACGTTGAAAACACGACAAATGGCCATGGACGAAATTCATGCCGCGTCATAGAGTGTGGGAAGCCTTTATCTGAGCAACACGGTGGAGAATTCTCCATTCAAGGCTCTACCTAATTTTAGCTACCTCTTTGTTATCCTCATATAGTCAGCCACGGCGTGAGATACTCCCTTATTTCTCCAGAATCGTTCTTCCAGAAAACTTCTCCTCAGATGAATTCCGTGTAGTTGCGAGACGAAGGGTAGCAATAATCGCATATAATATGATATTCCGAATGTCAACGATGCTGCCTCGATTATTTCTCGTATTCTGCATAGATTGCCATGCCGATCATTCAGCTGAGTTGGCAATGCTCTGTATAGCCACCCCTGTCAATTGATTCTGGCTTGCACTGCACTCAATTGGTCCTTCGAAACCGAATACGACGCGGAATCGCACAAGTCCATCCCGCCTCTAACGTATCATCCTTCCGAGCATGGAATAAAAAACACGGCTATTCTCCCTCATCGTGGAACACTCAGGAAGAATGCTTGATCCAATTCTCACAGCATAAGCATGATAAAGAGATAGCGGAGGTTCGATTCCCAGCGTCACCATTTTTTCCGAGCATTCTCATCTTCAAGTGGCTGACAAGGGCTCATTCTCTCTATCAGCTGCTGTTCCCCCATAATGTCTTCAGATCAACGGTACAAGAACGTCTCGGAGAACACAGTGTATGTAGAAGGTATTACAGGGTGGCGGCGATAGTACAGTACCACACTATTATCACATCATGCATATCCACTTCTCTCGGGTGCTATGGCTGAATACGGAGGTTCCAGGCGTGTTCCAATGCCTCCAATACGCCTTTCCTCTCAATTTACGAGATGTGTCCGCTTCATGCGATCCGGCGGAGCTATAAGCATCTGTGAAATGATATATTTTTGTTCATTCCTCGTAAACTCCACATCGTTCAGGACTGCCATTCAGCTGGACAGAGGAGGATATATATAATCACTTCAAAGAGTGCGGTCAGATCCTTAGTGTCCGTGCACCGAAATGGGAAGATAGTGGACGGCTGGTGAGAAATGGATGTTTTGCAGAGAGCCTAGTTCCCATCCTTTAGAGGGGATACGCCCATGTCACTTTGGCTGACGAAAGTGCTTTCGCCGAGGCCCTTAAACTGGATGGATCTAAGGCTTGGGCAGGAGGCAGTGCACGACAACGCTGGCTTAAGGTCACTGCGGCAATGTCTGGCAGCAACTCTGGTACTGTGGGGTGCTCGAGAGAAGACGGGGGTAGGAGGAAATAAAGCTGTTATTTCGATTTTTCTGTGTTCCTTTGCTGCCAGTATTGAATGCCAGTGGAGAGTCCTGTACAGGTGCATCTACCAGCTGGTCACCGAAACAAGTCGATGAGAAAGCCAAGATCCTCTTCGTGAAGAACATTCCATGTAAACTTCATCTATCCTTACATTCTCATCATCTTTGCCACAGATGACATTTCGGAGGTAGAGATTTCTAAGCTCTTCAGCACTATGGGGGACGTCGAGAATGTCCGTGTGGTCACTGCTGGACCGGATCGTCGGAATAAGGGTGATCGCCAGACGCCTGCCTTATGAAGCGTACAGCCTTCGTTAGGTTTCTGCTACGTCACGTTCGAAGCTGCTGGTGTGGTACGACGGATATGCGCGCGGAAGGAGCCTTGGAAGCTGAAGGGAAGGGTGCTGCAGCTTGACGTGGATGATGGCAGCGGTAGTATAGTCAGACTCAGTCGGGGTATATTAGTTCAGTCACTTCGGGCAGGTTTACGGTCTGGATTCCATTACCGTGCCGAGGCGTATGAGACGGGTCATGGGAGGAAGGTGAAGCGCCAATACGCTGTTGAGGAGGAGGAGGCCGTCGAGAAGGCCCCAAAGAAGAAGGCTAAGAAAAGCAAGAAAGCAGCCAGGCCCGAGGTTGAGGGAATCACTGTCACCAAGAAGTCTCTGTTGGATGATTGAACTCAGTCATTTACCCCACTGCTGACTTACCAGCCTTACGATAGTCTCTAATGTACTCATGTATTTGTGGTTTGAGGAGGGAGACACGCGATAGGTCTGTCGTTTGATTAACGTGAAGCTTGAGCCCAGCATCGTGGGTTGTCGGACTGAATCGATCTCCATTGGAGCATCCGAGCTTTGTGACAGCCTGGAGGACAGCTGCCCGTTGCCATCGCCGTTAAGGAGCGCAGTTTCGGTTAAGAGAAGTACCAGGCATTGTATTTCACACGCGGTACGGGTCTTGGACTAGGTTTCTGGATCAGCTGGATATCAACGTATAGGGAGAGCAATGGGGGATCGATACTCGAACTCTGCACTATACTCAAAGCCATCATTTTTATAATAAAGTTTCTTTGTTTACCTTCACTTCTCCAGCCAAGGCCGACTATGGATTCAACGTAGGCCTCAGATGGGTTATACCATCTTTCTAACCAATCCTGATAGAACCCGTCATTGAAGGTTCAGTGGGAGCATATTCCGACGGGGATATGTATGTTGTGGCGGAGAGCTCGTTATATGGGCGTTGGGTTCCCAGCTGCTGAAGAGTTCATGATCTCGGGAGTGGCAAGACAAACACCAAAAGAGGTCTTAGGTGTGTAGGGCGGTCGTATCAGCTGTCGTTATCTGACGATATCTTGTAGCAGTTGACACCACTTCAAACCGTTGAATATCCGTTCCAATCACGGCAGCACTGATTGAAATATTTGGATTATCGCAGGACATCCTAAGCAGGGAGAGTATCGTCGCATATGACTCGATTAGCAGGGCTTCGAGGATGAGAACTGCTTGTCGCATCCCTCACCCACCCATGGTTCATGATGTTGCCGGAAAACAGAAAGAGGTACCTCTCTGAAGGTACATGCGAGGAGCTAGCGGTTCTGCTGCAGGCGCACATTTAACTCGCACGGAGACTATACCGTCGCACTGTACAACTTCAAGGTCCCGACTGAGGCGATTGAGTTTGAGTTGACAGTGACCAGACTCAATATGGACATGTTATCGAAGACCCGAACGCTACTACGAACTCGATACGTCTTGTGCATATGGCTACGAGGTGGCTTTTGGATCAGCAGGTTGCTGAATTGAAGTTGTTCGACGCAGGCAGAACATGGTTGTGCTATCGAGTGGTTAGGGGGGTAAACTGGAGATCCACTGAATACGGTTCAAGTGGGTACGAACCCCACGGCACTCACTGAATGAGCCGATTACTTATAAATGCCTCCATTGTGACTCTAACATCTACATTGATCGATACCAATCGGAGGATAGGCCAGTGCAATCGAATTCGTCGATCCTCCGAAGTCCAAGCAGGCAGAACACACAATGATACTACCGAGTGTTTGTCTGAGTGGTTAAGGAGGTGGACTTGAAATCTACTGGACACGATCCGCGCCTCACAGCACCCACTGAGTGAGCCGATTGTTGATGTTCAAGTTGGCACTCATGTAGATTCGATACAACTGGAGAAGTCCGTTACTTGCCAAGCACGCGCATATACAGGACCGAGCGGTATCCCGAGCTTTTCCAGCTGCCCATCTTCAACCACAATGGCCTCATCAGAGATCGGTCATGATACTGCCTTCATCCCTCCCTATATATGAACAACTCAAGAGAGCTGCTACCAGAGACGATCTATGCGAGGTGAATGATGCTTGATACCAACAATAGGACAACAATGGTAATCTACAGGGCTGGAAAGCGAGGCGTGTCAGGAACTCCCTATCACCACCGATCCTCCACAACTGCTCTGAGACTCGCTGCTCGAAGAGCCTAACATGATACGCATCAACGAGTTCTCTCGAGCCCATACCCTGAAGAGAGCCCAGAGCAAAACAACCATAGCGAGGCAAACTATCTGTCCCTACTACCTTCCTCGCGATGGCCGTGCTTGATCTTGTACATCTCCCGTTGTTTCCGTTTGTACAACTCTAGTAGCCCCTCAACGTCGGACTCTCCACCAGCCTCTTTCCGCCGCCTCCTAGGCTTACGCCCTTCCCTGATGATTCTTTTTATTTGCTGGTATTGTCTGTACTCCGTATAGAGGGCGAACAAGACATACCCCCCAAAGAGGTAGGCTAGCCACGACGTACCGCTCTGGCTACTCCCTGATGACGATTTGCCCTCCCATGCACGTTCAAGTTCCCGACTCTCCCGAGCCACTCTGAGCCGTGGCACGAACCACTCCAAAATGCGTCTTAAAAAGCGGAAGATCGAACCCCGTACCTTCAACAGGACTTTCCTACCCAACAACAAGTAGAACCAATCATTACTCCCGAGAGCGGCCCGGTTTGGCCAAAACCCAGCACTTCGCTTCCCCAGCTTTTTATAACTTGCAACACCATCCTCAAGCCTTCGAACACAGCTGCCGACTCAGTGAGGAACCTACGACCGAACGAGACAGTTGATTATAATATCCTCCCCAGTGCGATCACTCACCTTATAATAGTAGTGAGGTTAATCTGAGGATGCAAATCTTCCGGAGGGACCTTCGCCACAGCATTGCCTCCTTGTTCCTGCTGTGGAACCGCTCCAAGCTGCTGCGGCATTCCAAGACCTCCAGAATAGGCACCTCCATAAGAAGGATACATACCCCCCGAGTACGGGAAGCCCGTTCCCATCATGCCTGGGACACCGCCACCCCCGAACATCACAAAAAACTGCCCACTACCAGTACTACTATCAGATTGATCAACGCAACGATGTAGGAGAACACATTAAAAGAAACAATAGGAAGGGAATAATCGATAGTATTCTGAGGAATGATATGCTCGATATGCCCTTACTACAGTAGAGTGTCTAAATGGTGTTTATAGATCTCTGTTCAGGGCTAGACCTTCAACCCATACGAACAATACCCGACGCAATTAGCTTCTCTAACGCGTTAGCAATCTTGGGATCCTTCATGTACTAAAATGCAACGAATATAACATATTGTCGGAAGAATGATGGATATACTACCTCCATGGCCTTCTGTGGGTTCTCCTGCATCTGTTGGAGTACTATGTTCATTTGAGGGTCCGCCAGAATCCTCTGCACCTCTGGATCCTGCATGGCATGCCTCACCGTCTCCGGATCAGGCGCCCCCTTTGACCTCGCCTGCTCGTTCACCTACAGTGTAGCCATTGAGTCAATATTATTACTATCACCACTACTACTACTACTACTACTACTACTACTACTACTACTACTACTACTACTACTACTACTACTACTACTACTACTACTACTACTAGTACTAGTACTAGTACTACTAGTACTACTAGTACTACTAGTACTACTACTACTACTACTACTACTACTACCTTAGCAATAACTGCCGCCTTGCCATCAAGGAGCTCCTTATGAGTTGGATCGATCTCCAAGCCCCTGATGAAAGTATATAATACCTCAACCCGTCCCCAACAGGGCTGCTTTTACTTCTCGTAATCTTCAAGTGCCTTCTTATAATCCTTCATCATGAAGTGCACTGTTCCCTTCCGACTGTACGCCTTCACGAACTTGGGATCGAGCTAAGTCGACAACCCACTTAATCAGCGGCCCAATCCACCCAGAGGCTTGCATACCTTGAGGCAATCATCAAGATCTCGGAGGGCATCAGGATAGGCCATGAGCTTGGTGAGGGCCGCGGCTCGGTTGGAATACAATTTGGCATCACTCGGATTACCTAGAAGTCTCTATGGAGGGAGAAGCTGCCTCTTGTACTCTTACGTTTGATAGCCTCGTCGTATTCCTTCTTAGCACCTGCGTAGTCAGCAGCCTTGAAGCACTCGTTTCCCTTCATACGATGCTCATCAGCCAATTCGGGGTTAATGTAGGCCTACGTAGAATATCATCACAGAGCAATCGACTGTAGAAGATTACCTCTCTCTCGAACTTCTCCTTCATATGCTTGCACTCGCTAAGGGCCGTACGAGTGTGACGATTGTTGTCCTCAGTAAGGGCCTTCTGGTACATCTCAATAGCATCGTCGAACCTATTACGACTAGTTCCCCTTCGCCGTCTAGAACTACGCTTACTTGTTCATCCGCGTGAAGCATGTAGCCATTCTAACGTAAGCCTTGGCGCACTTCTCGAAGGAAGCACCGTCCTTGAGCGCATCATTCATGTCGTACCTATAACTATGATACCCGAACACACCCAAGAGATCGGCTTACCGCTTGGCTAGCACGTCCTGTAGCAGCTTGATGCACTCCTCGTACTTCTCCTGTTCAACCAAGACTGCTGCCTTATTGTTGTAATAGGTCAGGTCGTTTGGCTGCAGCTCGATGGCTTTGTTATAGCACTCTATGGCCTACCACAATTGACTGGAATTAGGAAAGATGTTGGTATCAGTACGTCATCAAATTTGCGCTGTTTGTAGAGGGCATTGCCCTTAGCTTTCTCGATATCGGCTGCTTGTGAATCTCCCATTGTAAAGGTTAAAACAGTGTATCCAATGCAGTGGTGCAGCACGAGTCAATTTAGGAGTAATCGATTAGAATGGCGTGCGCTAAATAATCAGCGCACTTTGGGTTGCGCTACCAAATTCACACAAATCTGCTTCTCAGTTAATATATCAGTGAATTTCACAATGCTATCAGAAGTTCCAGAGGACATCTACTTCTCCATATTGGAGTTCTGCGACTCCTTAGACCATGCTCGCCTTATGGTCTGCAATAGGAGCATGCTGGCCATCACTGCTAACTGTTCCTATAGGCAGTTTATCGAACTTTTCGACCCTCCCAAGGACTCCCCTGTAGTACCCCATAGCTTGGGCGATCTACTAACGCTGGTGAACCTGGCTCGACATAGTACTGACAGTCTACGAGCAGCCCGGGATGCCTGCAACCTCGCAGCATCACATGGCCTCACCAAATTCATTGGCACAATTATTGGTAATCGCAAGTGGGCCTATGAGGTTCTATCAGCTGGGGCGCTAACCTTCGCAGTGCGAGGTGGCCATCATGATACGCTCAAGTTCGTACTGAATGCGGTGAACCCCTCCGAGGGGTATTCACTGGTGAATCCCTCAGTCAAGCCTTCGACCCTCCCTCCACCTCTGGCTGAATGCGCCATGAGAGCCGTGCTCAACCCAGATGATGTACATATAGGAGAAATGGCGAAGCTGTTGTTAGAGTGTCGGGCTAATGTCGCAGGAGATCCCTCATTAGAGCAGGCGTGCCCATTGCATTCGCTTGTACGCAGAAGCAAGGACGCTAGGAAGGGCGAGCATGACAATGGTTACTTAGCGACCACTAAAGTTATAGTACGGTACCTCGCCAATCAGTGTGGTGTAGATTATCGTCTTCCTACATCCCCTTTCGAGGGTCCTAGCGCTGAGCATCGCAAGCTCGTCGAAGTGGTCCACAAGGCTCTCAGCTCAGCGTGCTACTGGGAGGATGAACTGATAATTAAATGCCTCATTGAAGGTTTTGTAGCTTATGAGGCTTCCAGAATGTGGTTGAAAGCAGCTGTAAAAGAAGCACACTCCCGGACCACTAGCGAGACCCTAAACGCAAGCAATGGGTATCGTAATGGTCCTCAACAGAATCGGCGGGCTTCATTTCTAGAGGGCTCGCCATCCCCGCTTTTCCTGGCCGTCACGGCGCCAGGCCCACCAGAGCGGTCTGAGAGAATTATATCGTTGCTGTTGAAAGTATGTGATCCTAATGTGATGTTGCCTTCTGGCAAGAGCCCTCTGTATTTGGCTTGTGAGACAGGGGCTTCTAATAGTATCATAAAAGTGCTACTGCTAGGCGGAGCGAAGGTCGATACATGCACTTGCTCTGGTCGCAATGCTCTGTTTGCAGCGGTAGAGAAGGGCTACTTCTCAGCTGTTGAAACGCTGTGTAGTACTGCAAGGTGCGTTAATTTGAGGCATATTACGCAGAGGACCAATGGAGGAGTATCTCCCTTTATGCTGGCTGAAAACAAAGGCAGGCTTCAGGTAAATCACTGAGTGATAAGCATGAGCGTTTTTGTGAGCGTGTGAGACGGAATATATCACCCGTTTTATCGACTCGTCATCCATATTGAGAATTGATTTAAAGCAGCTGAGATATGCATGACATAATTCCTGTTGGTCTTTTCAGATGATGTTGGCTATGCTCGAGGCTTACGCTAGGGAAGCTCGTATATCTATCGATATGTTTGGTAGTGATAGCACTGGTGACTCCATGACCAAACTGGCTTTCACTGTCACCCACCCCTACCTCAACAAGATGTGCCATAAGTATCGTGCTAAGCTAGCGGCACGCACTGATGCAAGACTTGGTCGTGAAAGAAGCATGAAGAAATTGACTGCTCATAAGGTCAGGCCCCATTCGGCAGCGCCAAGACTCAGACCCAGGCCGGTGACACCTAGCAGGCTCCAGAGGGCCCCGTTGACCCCTAGGATCGCTGTAAGGGGCCATCGGATGATGAGTCGATCTTCACGTGCCTCTTGACTATGCAAGGGCCGCTTGATTGTTGTTGTGCCAATCCTTGATGTTGATTTAAATAGCTGTTTCGTTTGCAGTGACAAGATGACCGATGTGAGCGAGAGTTGGGAAAATCATATCACTTTCAGAACTCACGCATCGATCTGCTGCGGCTATTCGAGATGGTTTCTACAGCCCTTTTTCAGTGGACGTATGAGAGCATCTAATGGATGCCGCAGCGTACGAACAGGCAGCCGATGAGGTCAGACACACAGATCAACGTGTTGGCACAGAGAACGGTGAGCTCTCAGAGGCATTTAGCATTGATGTGCACTGCTCAATTGCACAGCCATTAAGCTATCATCGGTTACCATACCTTTCCTAGAGGCAGGAGTTTTGACGTGTTCATTTCAATGGCCATCATATTGACTACTGCCAGTGGTATCAACTTGGTGAGCAGGCCATTGCATCGATTGGGTGCCATAGGGTCGACATGAGCCATATTGGCTCCCTTTCGTAGTGTGAGCTTTATAGGTGGGGTATCTTGAGTATCGGTACGTCCACTGAGGTCTCGGCCGACAACTCCTCGCAGCGGAAGGGCCAGCCTTGCTCGAGGTCAACGGCCTTTTAGACCAGAAGGGTTCGTATTCAAGCGCAGCTACGATCAGTAGCTCCATTATACGAATATTCTGTTTACGTTAGAGGTACCGATGCACCTGTATTATGATTGTATTAGTAATGTTCATTGAGTTATGTGACGTATTGCGAAGGTGAGTATAGTCTGATATTATTATCCGCATCGTGTCCCCCAACATCACCGCATCATTCGGGAACCATTCTGTAGCTTATTCGATTGTTAGAAATAGTCTTGGGTCATCTTGAATAAACTCTGGAGTAGTTTAGTAGAGGCGTAGTAGTAGATGGAGACCCTTCAAGTGAGAGCTATCCTCATAGCAATGACGATGACAGTGAGGGAATCACCGTTGCGGTGGACTCGGTCATCGCAGGGTTGTTGTCGAACCGAGGGTCGTCGTAGATGAGATTTTGATGGCTCCGATGAGCAGATTATGTTTCCCTGTTCTGAAAGCCATGATGTGAATGCGTTTATCAACGCAGGCCATTGTGAATTACAGAGTCTTTCATCCGAGTTATAAATGGAGTCTCGAAAGCACAGACCCCCGGTACACCCCTCGCTACCCTCCCCAGCGCCCCACACCTATACGTAGACCACTAGTCATTGCCTTACGCCAACGACCACGAACAGCATCACCTCGACGAGTGAGTCTCGAAGTGTGGTTGCAATACAGCCCGGATGCCGCAAAGCCACCATCCGTTAATATATATCATCATCAATATTAATATTATAATATAGAGGTACAAATATAATGTTATATATAAACTAATAATACCATAAATATAAGACAGGTTGAAGGACGTACAGGGCGCAAAAAAGAGCTCGATGAGGGCTTTCAATTGATACATCCTTTGCTCACCAATTGTCACTCGCCGCGAAATTACACCAACCTGTATATTATCATTTCTAGAGAATCAGTATTATATTTTTACATGCATTGATAAGCTTACGTTTGACATTGAAGCGTCGTAGTTCCTGCTGCTGAGGTCTCATTCCTTCTCAGCCAGCCACTGCGTCATCCCCACGCTCTGCGAGAAGTCAATTCGCACGACATCGATCTCCCAGCGGCCACTGCTTGAATAAGAATGGCGCCTCCTCAGAAGGAATGGCTATTGCTGGAGGGAAAGCCAAGGCCAAAGACGGAAAGTAAACAAATTGTTATGAAGTCTCAACGAACACGATAAGTGCACAGAGCGCGGGAAGAACAACTACTGGGAGAATTGAAGACTGCGGTGAGTCGGCTCACTGAAGTGATTGCTGAGAAGGATTTGCACATATCTAAACTAAAGGAGAAAGTAAATGAACTATTGACACCATGATCATCTACATCGTTGGTATCCTTTCAAGATCAAGTTGCTGTCCAGAGAAACCGAGCTACAACAATCATATAAAAGAAACTACCAGGAGGTGGATAAGAAGTGAGAGACCGGAACATAGTTGATGCCAGTCTGGAACGGCTCTGTTGGATATGCGATGACTGTGTTTTATCTCGCATCGCGGAATAGTAAAAGAAACACCTTAGAAGACCAGGAAGTCTCACCGTTGCAATTGCGAATGTATAAGAACCATTCAGACGGCAGGTCTATTCGCACAGTCTCGTGAATAGTGAGGACTCTGTGATGCATGGGGAAGACGCTGCTTTTAGAGTTCTCTCCCTCACTGAAGAGATAGAGAGACAAGTCGCATCCCAAGCATCGCTGAAGGTCCGATTGGACAGGCTACGCATTGAACGAGATAGAGCACAAAATATGGTAATCACAGTAACGCTGAGCAAAACAGCAATCTTACTCTCCTGTGAAGGCAGCAGCGTTGAAGGGGAGGATGCTCAAGGCTACGGCTCTTCCAGTAGTACGCAAGCCCGAGACGAAGAACATCAAAGTTGGACCTGATGACGACTGTGAATACGATGACTACATTGATGCTCTCCGCATGGAGGTTGGCGCTGTCTGATAGCAAATGTCACTTGGAATGGTGTAGGTGAGCCGATATCGAGTAGAAGTAGAAGCGCTACGGCGAGCCACTGCTCAAGTAGACATTCATGTCATCAACGAACCAGGGCGAAGTCCACAACTCCTTGCTGTACCCCTGTCCACTAGTGAGTCAATGGATGCGGCTGAACCAGTGATCGCCCTGTATCGTAGAGGGTGGTGCTACTGCAA